AAAATAAAACTTTATGGTATAATAATTTCAGAACATTCCTAAGTAAAATATTTTAAAATCCATAGTTTTAAAATTCATGGATTTTAAGCTCGCCTTTAGATATTCATTTTGCTTTTTTTTCAATATGTATATTTCTCAAATATTTAATAGTATATCCTTCTTCTCGTGGATGAAAGTGTTTTTAAATACATATCTACACATGGATAATATTTTTTTTTAGGAGCCACTTATTTTTAGCTAAATTTACACGCTATTGTTTCTTTTAACTATTATTCGACATGTAAATATCTTGATCATTTATTTTGAGGAATTTTAGTTATGTTATTTCTCTTAGTTTTTAAACGAATTCCTTCCGGTAAGGAAATTTAGTAAATTATTTTATCTAAAATTTACACATTTTTTTTTTTAAAACTAGTATTTAACATGTAAATTGTTTGATTAATTTATTTTTAAGCGATTTTTGTTAAATGTTTTTCTCTTAGTTTTTAAAGTTGTAAATAGTCTGTCATTTTAATCACTCTATTGTAAATTTTATTAAGTGTAGTTTAGAAAAGAAAAGAAAATAAGAATAAAAATAAAAATGAAAAAGACCAAACAAATAAGTTATTTTATAGAAGTTAAAAGGGGAGGTTTTCTTCTATTCTTCCAAAAAATCACCCATTCTTGGCCGCATGTAGGAAGATCACTACAACCATGCATACCTAATTTATAACCTCGAATAGCCCAAGTGAAGTCTTGATTGGTTGTTGTTTACTGGGGCAACTTATATAATGCACGTCCTAAAGCTAGTGGCAGATTTTATTCTAGGTGCGGGCCGAATACTGATCATATTCGGTCGGGTCACCCATCGAAGAAGTCTGTTGTTTATTTAGACCCGAAACTTCTAGTGACATGGGAGCAACAACTCTAACGAGGCATCTAGATTTGGCATTTAAAAGTGTATTTTAATAATAATAATCTGAAAATGCTGGGACACTTAACTTCAAATCTCTGGTGTCTTGTGAGTCTATATACACAACGGAGCTTATGTGACCTCATTCAGATTTCTACTGCATTTGTTTTGGTCTTTATCGCAATTGTTTACAAATATCCCACATTGTAATAAAAGTAGTTTTGTTAGGAAAGCTGATACGTTTCATGATCCTTGCCGTAAATTTACCGTGCAACAATTATACTGAATATCCCAAAACCGATCAAAGTCTTAATGGCTATTAAATCGATCTTTTCACTCACCTTGTAGGTGGAAGATATGAGGAGAAAACGCTTCTTAATTGATAGCAATGTGTTGCATCGATTTCACCATCGGCAAATGTCGAACATTTAAAAGTCTGATGTTCGCAAAGTTCATTTCTCATATGACATCCAGATTTCACTTTTGCGGATCTTTTTAAAAAATGATATAGGCGAAGTCATGCATTAAATTTAGTAAGATTCTTTTTACACTACGGGATTTAAATTTTAATATCAGATAAAGTTTTACTTCAGGAAAGACAGATTTAATTTTAATTAAAAACGATTGCATTTGTATAAGATTAATTGGACTAGTAACTACACCAAAATTTGGCATGTGAATATTTAGGACTAAATCTTCAGGATAAAATCTTAAATCAATTAGAATTCGATAATGATATGAAGCAGAATAAATTGGTAAAGAATGAACAACTGATAAGAATCAATAAATCAATTAATAAATAAATTCAATCATTTTAAATGTGAAATAAAAACTTGTGACAGTAAATCTTATTAAAACAAGATCGAAGTTGGAACGTGTATTGAAAAGTGAATATATTAATATTTTTTGCAACCCAATCTGTTTTAAGAGCGTATTTTAAGAGTCAAGCGTTAGTACAGAATCCAAATAAAAGCAGCAGACATAGTTCTTCTAATATTTTCTGGGCCTTAAATTGTAACTCGCACTGCGAATTCTAATAAAAAAAAAAACTAGATGAGTATGAGGCCGGATGAGTGATAAATACAAGATGATCACGACTGTAAAATTCTAAAATTGACTCTTGAAATACCAAACCATTTCTCTTAAAAAAAAAACACTTCCTGAAATGAAAAACCCTGTGAATGATTACTCTTTTTAATTGTAACCATTTCTTTTTACACTATTTACATGCGGAGTATTGTCCACTTCAGTGTTTCAGTCGTCGTACTCTCTGGCCTTCATCAGGTGTATATCGATCCGGGCAACCTACAGGGAATTCTGAACTGAACCTTTTATTTAATCTACAGGGGTGGACTGTTCTCATTCCACTGCCCAGGTCTAGTTTCGTCTTGTTTTTATTTTTAGTACTGTTCACTTATTACTAGTCTTTTTCCGACCGACTTCTAGTACACACACACTACTCTGCCCAGAGATTGAACTCACAATTACTATGTCACCAAATTCTCGAACCAACGCTATGGCACGGAAATAGAAGAAACGGCGAATGATTACTGTTCTGGATTGTTACTGTTTCATTCAGAATTGAAAGAATGGACCAGTCTGTGACAATGGAAAACAGCTCTTATTTCATTGCTGCAATCAATCACATGATGTTATTGCGTCTTCTCTCGAGTCAGCTGACGACAGATGAGAACCGGGCAACTCAGTAATGACAAGTCACGATTATTCCAAAAGTCACTCCTTTCCGTCGACTCTTTGCTTCCAGCTGAAAAAAAATACGTATTTACGACTGGGTTTTCTTTAAAACATTATTTTAACTAACGAGCGCAAATAAAGCTGGAAGAACATGCAATACGTGGAGAAACTTTGAATTTAGAGTTTGAGTGGAAAGAAAAAATCGTCATTACTTCTTATGAAAGAAAAGTCAGAAAAACAGAGAGCAACATGAAAGAGAAAAGCAAATGAAAGAATTGACAAACTTTAGCATTCTCATCAATTAACGAAACAATCTAGAGCTTTTAATCAGAAAATAATAATATATTGTTTAAAGATTTAAAATTATAGGCACAGAATATTGGCACAGTGGATATAAGCCTTAGTTTCTAGTTGCCATGAATTTAGTCCATTTGGCTATAAAAAGAAACCCATATACTGCCATTCAGTGAATAAGGAAAATAAATTGATACTATACATTCCGCTAGCATGAACAACATGCTACAAGCAACCTAACCCCGAGGAATAAGCATTTGGTCCGATTCGAAGTCTGAGAGGGTTACGGAAAAAGCAAATGACTAAGAAAAACCGAATTGTTATGACAATAGTAACCAAAATGTCGATATCAGTTCTAATAAATTAGTATATTTTAATGAGATTAAACTTGCAATGATTTCTTCTATGTGCCATTTGTTGTTCTTTTCATTAGAACTTTGTCGTTCCTCACACATTCGGTTCATTTTGTGTAGAATTACATTTCTGTTGCTTCAAGTATCTTCTTCATCTGTAAGGAGATAGTCCAGCATTTACTGACACATACGGGGACTGATATTACATAACTCGTCTCTGTTTCTAACGAAGTTTTTCTGTCTACATTTTGGAATACATCTACATTTTGGAATACATCTTACACTATGTCAATGCGCCTCTGGATTTCTGAAAAAAACAAAAACAAGAAAATACTACCTCGTATAAAATTGTTGGTTAATATTTAAGGAGAAAATAAAATAAAGAAACTCTCCCTGCTTTTGGGAGATTCGCCATTTCACCTGATTTCAGAATTTCAGTCGTTGTGTGTTTTCATTTTTTCTGCCCACATTTTCTGCGGTTAGGTCTGTATTAGAAAACTGTCTAAATCCCTATTCCTAGATAAATGTTATTCATTGTGGTTGAGTTTCTCGCTTGAAATGAAAGCCCCTTACTCAAGTAATCAAATATGTGATTGTTTAATGCATTGATACGTGATATGAGTAAATGACTTTTCCATAAATTATCTCTCGTCCTGAGCCATCAAGAAAAATATAAATCTAATAACATGTAATGAAGTCATTTTCAGGACTAATGAAAACGTGACGTTTGAATCTTTCATATATAACATTCGTATATTTAATTTAATTCCTAATTTCGTCAGTTATTATTTTCCACTAGATATTCTTATGTTGGTTTTTGAGAGAGACTCTATCCTTACCGCTGCGGTGGCTGTTGATATATCTATCTCTGGTGTGCATCTCTTTCTCACGCTTTTACATCAGATAGAGGTCACGAGAATCTGCACTCGGTGTTTGGGGGAGGTTACCTCATATCAACCCTGCGTCTGGATTGCTTGATGGCCTGGTATGACATTGAGTGCAAAGTATGCATCGAAATAGAAATATAATGAAACTAATTTCAATTACATCAGAAATAACTATAAAGCAATAGCACTCAGAAATAAATTTACTTGTGCCCTTTTATGTCTCATATTAAATTTACCAAGCCCTCTTTCCTCAGTATGTGATCTAGACATTTAAAATATCTCTTTCTGATTTTAAGTATAAGTGTCTCTTTTTTTCTATTTTCTATAAAACTTTGTTGGTACTCGCAGGTTTGATCCATTTTTATTAGAGAACGGACGAAATTCTGGAGATTGATGGACGACAGATAAGAAACAATTAAACAGCATAGATACAGCGGACGTAGAGAAAATAATCAAAGAAGGAAAATGTCGTAATTTTTAACAGAATGCATAAAATATAAGCAGTTAACGTCCATAATAGAGAAGGAAAAATATTTCAACAATAGAACGATTACATTGGATAACACTCACATGGCGATTTCAACATCCACAAGGTTAATGAAATAATAAATGAAATGTAAGACACGGGCGACATACCGGAAGATCATAGTAGACGTAAACTATGCCTAAGAAACTGAGTGTAAATGAATGCGAGATAAATGAGCTACATAAATAAACATAGCACAAGGATTCTGATTACTAGAGCGCATTAGACGGGAAATAAAGCACAACAAGGGTAGCTTCATTAAAGACACTATCTGAATGAGCAATACAAATTCAGTAAGATGTATACTTGTTTAATAAAATACGAAAATTATCTTATAAGTTACAACACGGAGATCAATTTGGTAATCGAGGGAAACAGACGTAAGAAGAGAGAATGGATAATGATAAACGAGAGAGAGGGTTGTAAGAAGAGAGAATACATGATGACAATCGAAAGAAAGGTTTGTAAGAGGAGAGAATGCATGATGACAATCGAAAGAAAGGTTTGTAAGAGGAGAGAATACATGATGACAATCGAAAGAAAGGTTTGTAAGAGGAGGGAATGCATGATGACAATCGAAAGAAAGGTTTGTAAGAGGAGGGAATGCATGATGACAATCGAAAGAAAGGTTTGTAAGAGGAGAGAATACATGATGACAATCGAAAGAAAGGTTTGTAAGAGGAGAGAATACATGATGACAATCGAAAGAAAGGTTTGTAAGAGGAGGGAATGCATGATGACAATCGAAAGAAAGGTTTGTAAGAGGAGAGAATACATGATGACAATCGAAAGAAAGGTTTGTAAGAGGAGAGAATACATGATGACAATCGAAAAAAAGGTTGTAAGAGGAGAGAATACATGATGACAATCGAAAGAAAGGTTTGTAAGAGGAGAGAATAGAGGAACATGATGTAATGAACAGTGGTAAGAAGATCGAAATGGATGGTAAAAGGAATCATTTGTAAGAAGATAGAAATGATGGTAATCAAGAGAATCATTTGTAAGAAGATAGAATGCATGATGGTAATCAAGAGAATCATTTGTAAGAAGATAGAATGCATGATGGAATCATTTGTAAGAAGATAGAATGCATGATGGTCAAGAGAATCATTTGTAAGAAGATAGAATGCATGATGGTAATCAAGAGAATCAGTAAGAATGCATGGATGGTAATCAAGAGAATCATTTGTAAGAAGATAGAATCATTGGTAATCAAGAGAATCATTTGTAAGAAGATAGAATGCATGATGGTAATCAAGAGAATCATTTGTAAGAAGATAGAATGCATGATGGTAATCAAGAGAATCATTTGAATCATTAAGAAGATAGAATGCATGATGGTAATCAAGAGAATCATTTGTAAGAAAGATATGGTAATCAGGAGAATCATTTGTAAGAAGATAGAATGCATGATGGTAATCAGGAGAATCATTTGTAAGAAGATAGAATGCATGATGGTAATCAGGAGAATCATTTGTAAGAAGATAGAATGCATGATGGTAATCAAGAGAATCATTTGTAAGAAGATAGAATGCATGATGATGGTAATAAGAAGATAGAATCATTTAATCAAGAGAAGATAAGAAGATAGAATGCATGATGGTAATCAAGAGAATCATTTGTAAGAAGATAGAATGCATGATGGTAATCAAGAGAATCATTTGTAAGAAGATAGAATGATGATGGTAATCAGGAGAATGAAGATGATGCATGATAATCAAGAGAATCATTTGTAAGAAGATAGAATGCATGATGGTAATCAAGAGAATCATTTGTAAGAAGATGGTAATCAGGAGAAGAAGATAGAATGCATGATGGTAATCAAGAGAATCATTTGTAAGAAGAAGAATGATGGAATGCATAAGAAGATGGTATGATGGTAATCAGGAGAATCATTTGTAAGAAGATAGAATGCATGATGGTAATCAAGAGAATCATTTGTAAGAAGATAGAATGCATGATGGTAATCAAGAGAATCATTTGTAAGAAGATAGAATGCATGATGGTAATCAAGAGAATCATTTGTAAGAAGATAGAATGCATGATGGTAATCAGGAGAATCATTTGTAAGAAGATAGAATGCATGATGGTAATCAAGAGAATCATTTGTAAGAAGATAGAATGCATGATGGTAATCAAGAGAATCATTTGTAAGAAGATAGAATGCATGATGGTAATCAAGAGAATCATTTGTAAGAAGATAGAATGCATGATGGTAATCAAGAGAATCATTTGTAAGAAGATAGAATGCATGATGGTAATCAAGAGAATCATTTGTAAGAAGATAGAATGCATGATGGTAATAAGGAGAAACAGTTGTAAGAATTGAGAATGTTTGATGATAATCGCGAAATAAATGCAATGCAACATTGCTCATCTTATTTGCTAGTTTGCTTAGCGTCTAACACGTTAAATTTACCTTTGTCGTTGGTATTATATATCAGGTGCATTACTGATCATGTCAGTTTTTGCTTACTTTAGAAAAAGTGTCTTTAAAACACTTTAGGCTATTTCTTAAAACAAATTTCTGCTGTCAGATTTAACATATCACTAATTTGTCATTATGATATCTAAGCATAACACTCTTAATATGTGAAGCCAGTAATCGAAAGAAAATCTTTTGACGTATTTAAATTTATTAATAAATAATTTTTATTTTTGTTTATCAATTTTAGTCTTTAAGAAACAATGTGAAATTATTTTTTCTTCAATTTGGATATTCACCATTATTTGCAATAACTTGTTGCCATTTATCATGCAGTTCTTCGATGGCTTTTATTATAATTCCGCAGGATTTGTCGGGAAAAAGTTTTTTCCCACAAACTCTTGAATCTGCTTCTCATTACACAAAGTTATTCTCATCAAAGCGTTTTACAGTAATCGAAAATATCTTGATGCAAGATCATTGGAATATTGCGGGTGGGATGGAACTACTTCCAAAATGTTTCCTTGTTATTCTTCCTATATGTGTCCTTGTCTTGTCGTAGAGGAGAACAACAATTCTCCTTTAATCCCCTGTGTACACTGCCAGTACTATGCAAAATTTAAAGCAGGTTAGTGTACAAATGGCTTTTGGAAGGAGCGGGCCAGACAGTTTTGCGGTGTCTCGGTGGAGGGTCGTGATATTAAATGTACTAATTAATTAATTAATAAATAACAAACGTATTTATTAATTGTCTTAACCTCAGAGGACCCCCTCCAGAAGGCTAGCTTAGTCTGTATAAACTTTCTTTACGACAATGGTTTCTTGACAAATTAGGCAAGCACATTTTCCGAAGTGCTCAATGAAATTTAGCTAAGTCTCCAGCTTTCGTTAAAATTGTGATCTCTAGCCTTAGGTAGAAATCAGTCTAAGAGAAGGAAAAGTTTGAATTCCAATCTGTGGAGAAAGTAACGAGAAACCATTCAATAGTAATTTCCAGGAAGGCGTGGATTTGGTTTACTAATACGAAAAATATCATGGGTACGTCGAGGTAGTGTAATGGTTAGTAAGCTTGTCTCGCTAGACCAATTACGACTAAAAAGTGAATTAGATTCTCACTGGATGCTCAATACTTTCGGCCTCGTGCCACATCTAAACTACGTTTAGAAAACCACTATACGAAAAATGACATTACACTTTCATTGTTACTTTATATTGAAAAACATCTTGAAAAGATGATAGTGGTTTTATTTTGATATTTTATTATAACGAAATAATGAGAAATGAAATTATGGATTTTTTTCTGTCTCGGATTGAGATACAAATTAATCCGTTTAATCACTATTTTAAATTGATTTATATGTATTTACAAAATGAATAATCACTTTCATTTTAATAAAAGTTCATATTGCGTATTTAGGCATCAATCCTTCATTTACGCATCTTTCATTAAAAACGACAGACAATGTACTACGATTAAGATTTTATTTAATTTTTCTTGTGTTCGAACAAGTGTTTTCTTTTTGGGACAATGAGTGTGTAGAAACTGTCCAAATGTTCTATAATACGGAGCGCTTTTGGCTATACTTTTAGCCATTATCAAGGATGATTTTATTTTTTTACTTTGAGTGTGTGCGTTATATGTATGTTTTTAGTGTGTTATAGATATGTTTTATTTTTGGAGGAACACGGTTATCACATTGTGGCCTTGTTCGTAGTTAATATTGTTAAGAGTTGGCTTCCATTAATTTTTAATCTTTTTTTACAGGTGGATGAGGTTATTACGTTTGTGATTTCTACTAGTATGTTTCAAATGGAGTCTGGTAAGTTTGTGTATGTCTAATAGAGCTCTAGTCAAATATGTGTAACGTAAGGTGTCTGTAGAGGCATGTAGTCGTGACCGGAAACAACTCGAGGTAGAGCGTTAAGCTAAGAGATATAGTTTATATGGATAGAAAGGAAAGATAACTGTTTACTCTAGTTTTGAACAGGTTAAGAATACGGAGGGAATGTAGATGGTTTGCTTTTTATCTGGGTGGCCGTGAAGGGTAGACCTGGCGGGAATCAAGGAATGTAGTTGGATATGAGCAGTTTCCATGGAAGTAGTGATAGAGCAGTGGGAGATTCGTCAAATCCCGCCTGTGAGTGCGGCATTGGAGGGTAGAAAAATAATTTTTCTCCAACAAAGACTTGGAGACGCTTCTGAACTCTATAACACTATTTGAAATGCTGTTATTAATCGCTTACATATTACTATGTGAACAAGTTTTTTTTTTAATAAATTCATGTTAGCAATGACTGAATATAAATCATTTTCTTTAAATGTATTTCTATCTGATTGATACTGTTTCAAAGAAAAAGTCTATTTTTTCTTTTTTTTTAGAGCTAAAGACTACGTCGACTTCATTACTCCAATCAAGCTCTTTAAATCGAATTCTTCAAATCAATTCCTCTGATCTCAACATCATGCAACTACTAATCCATTTACACACCTCCAACTCGGGCGAACAGAAATGGTATGAGGTGAAATTACAGCAATAGTAACAGTACCTTTCATTTAGCAATATTTTAATTTTACCTTTCATTTACCTAACAAATTGCCGTGTGATTAACGCAACAGTTCTTGGCGTGCAATCTGCGAGCTGAGTTCAAATCTTGTCCACGTCTCTTGGTAAGAGCATAAATCCTTCTCTTCTTCTCTACTAGCAATAGGTAAAATAGCAGAGTAGAAATGGGTGTCTGCAGTCTAAGAGAAGAACAACTCTAAAATTTACAACCAGAGGAAAGATAATGGAAAAAAAAACAATCCACAATTTACCCCAAGAAGCCTTGGCAATTCGCAGATAATAACGAAATGGAGAGTCATGATCCCTTCTGAAGTGACATGCCATTTAAAATAAATCCACCAAATGATCGAAAATAACAATAAAAACGAAATTATTGATATCATCATATAAAGATGCTTAATTTATAACAAACAGACTCATCTTATGTAGCGTAAAACGTTTCTTCGGTTTCTTAATTAAAAATTAAATACTTTAAGATTCAACATTAAATTTAGTGTTAGTAGTAATATTCAATTCTTGCTTTTGTTCTCGCTGTAGTAGTAAAAGTAGTTGCTGCCGTTGGAATAGGAATTATTTTTGCACTCTCTTTTGCAATGTTTCAAGCAATACCAAGAATTTTTAGAACCAGAACTTATCTTTCTCGGTAATAATTTGCTTAGGGTGGTTTCCAGACTAATATTTTTTATAAAGAGCAATCGACAAAAAGTCAAAAGAAATGATCACCTTGATATCTGCTGGGTACGACGAATAAGTGAAAATTCCTTAACCAAACTGGAAAAATCTGTGAACATAATGAATCACACGGTTGAGTATTATCCGTATATTACGAGCATTCTGATAATTCGACGATTTCTGCATTCAATACCTCTGACTGAGAGTAGTAATTATTCGAATCAGTCGTTAGTAAAAGATTTCTTTCTAATTCTAGCTTATATGCAACATTATTTTCTTTGAATGGAACCGCAATTTTCTAATTGAAAAGTGGTTAATTTACTTTGCCTCTGCGATCGCCAGTTATTTAAATACGGTCTAGTAGGTTCTTTTGCTCAAGGTATGTTGGAGCTACACATCA